CATTAAAAAAAAAATAAAAATCATATGATATATATTACAGCAATCAAATGGTGGCATCACCAGCGTTAGTTCCATCACCAAATCCCCAACATGCTACCATGGCCGGACCACAACGATCTGTAGGTATGTTACAAAACTTGAATGTACAGTCATAAATGTGCAAGTTTAATCGTAAACATGAGTAATATTAAATATACTGCATTCTCAAACAGGTATGGTACCATCTCCTAGCAGTTCTTTGAATACGCCCGGAGGTGTAGGAGCGACTCCAAGCCCCCAACAAGAAGATCAAGCATATAGAGATAAAGTTAGACAATTAAGTAAATACATAGAACCACTAAGAAGAATGATTGCTAAGATGAGCAGCGATGGAAGTGAGTAATATCGACTTAAGCATTAATCTTAACACGCATGCAAAAATTTATGTAATTCTGTTATTTATAGATGTTGACAAAATAAGCAAAATGAAGAAGCTTCTAGAAATTTTATTAAACCCCACTAAACGGACGCCGCTAGACACATTATTAAAATGTGAAATAGTTCTAGAAAAGTTAGATTTTAAGCGGGGTGACGCAAGCGTACGGCCTCCAGTAACGACACTGAAAGAACATCATTTCTTTAGTCCGCTTTTGGAAGCAGTGAGCACTCATCTCCAAAGCCCTGTTGTAAATCATACGTTACAACGTACTTTTGGCCCGTGTCTAGAAGCTTTGTTCGGACCAGAAATAAAGTGAGTAATCTGTGAACAATTAGTAAATTTTAAGATACAGTATGTAAAAATAGATACTCTTTATGTACAATCAGAAATTTACCACCGCCATTGAAGAAACAGAAAATAGAAGAATATCCTAGCGAAATACCAGATGTATTACAAGGTGAAATAGCGTATATAATTGCTTATGTGATATATGTTATTATATATAAATCTGTTAGATTCCAAGAAAGGCGCAGCAGGTGCTACACCAGGTGCTGCTGGTTCAGGAAATCAGGGAATGCCTGATCCAATTGGAGCATTGCAAACACTAGCAAGACAAGGGACTGGAAATAATCAAATGATGAATATGAGTGGACCAGGAACTAATCCTCAGGGAATAATTCCACAACCACCTACAAACACTGCTACTAATTGTCAGTAGGAATGCAGAATTTTGTAGATTATTTGATCATATTAAGAAAATTTTATTTCATTCTTTGTTGCAGTGTTGCAAAGCTTAAATCAACGTCCTGGACAGCCTATGACCATGCAAGGCAATAGAATGGGCATGATGCCTACTCAAGCTGGTGGACCAATAAATCACATGGGTCCAATTCAAACCATGCAAACCAATTCCTTACTGACACAAATGAATCCAGTGGCACAGGGAAATATGTCTCAGCAAATGAATCAAATGGTTCCCAGTCAAATGACACAAATCAGTACAGGACAAATGCAACAAAATATGCAAGTATGTAATTTTTACTAAAAAGCATGCATCACTTCCTTGTAATAAATACAGAAGTGTGATTCATCGATTACTGCTTTTCAGACTCAAATGCAAACACAACTGTCAAATCAAATAGGTAATCAAATTAATGGTTCAATAAGTGGAATTCAAACAAGTATGCCGCAGCAAATGAATCAAATTGCTCCGGGACAATTAAGTGGGCAAATGCAACAACAGTTAAATCATATGCAAAGAAAGGTGCGTAGGTAGTATATTAACGTGCAGCCATTATTCTTACACTTGCGTAAATATTTTTAGCAGGGCGAAATGATAAATGTGGGTTTCCCTGGTCCGCGAAATGTTACGCCAAACCAATTTCTAAGTCAAAGTCCGTCACCATCTGCTCCAAGCCCGGCTGCTTTAGGTGCACCGTCAAGGTCATCTTTTAGTTTAACTTAAAT